GAAATAGTCTTTTAAGAACAAAAGTCTTTCTAGGAAGTTTACTCTTTAGTTTTTTTGCTTCAAAGAAGTCTTTTTATCAGCTAAATGGTTTAATTAAGTTAACTTTAATTATTGCCTTGTACATTTTTCTTTTTGTCTTATTCGATCACTTTTATTCCATCCTTCCGAAGAGGTTTCCTATTTAAATAGCAAGAGGCTCAAAGACCTTTATGGTCACCTGAATGTCCCTCGCATGGTTACTTTGGGTCACCCAGACTGGAATTTCACGTCTTTGGTAAAAGATAAAAACAATATTTAGTATAATCATAAAAACAGTCTGCCTGCTAGATGTCTTTGAATATAGAAAAAGATTTTATTATATAATGTACTAAATATGTTCAATTTATAACCACCTTGCCCCACCCTGACTGCTGGTCTCAGGTGACACGAGTTTTACATCTTTGGTTAAAGGTAACGCACTCTTTGTAATGATATAACCAGTTTACCCACTAGATATATTTTAGAAAAGATTTCACTTTGAAAATTACAAGAATGTAATGAATTTTCAATATACCTTATCTTTAGGGCTTGAACCATGCATGGGATAATGGTCATGAATTTCATATGTACAATTTTGGAAATGCTCAGTGTTTGTCTGCTTTCACGAGGAAATATTTTTAAAATTTTAATGTATTTGAAACATCCAATGTCCAATAAGGACTCACCTAGGAGAGGAACAATGGAACCCAAAGTTACAAATTTCACAATTTTGGAGAAAGGTTGAGTATTCAATGTAATCACGCAGTTTTTCTGCTACATGTAGATATCCATGAGCAAAGAACATTTTATAAAATATAATGCAGTTTCATATATATTACCAAATTAGCCCAACCCTGAAGCCTTAACCATGGACCCAGAGGTTATAAATTTCATTATTTTGGTAGAAGACTTATTGCTCATTATAATCATGCCAACACCTTGACAGCTTATTATCAAGGGGTATAGAAGAAGATTTTTAAAGATTGCATAAAATTTGATAATTTTTGATAGACCCCTCAGGCAATGGGTAGACAGAGACCATAAATTAAGACTTTTTTGTCCCTCTTAACTTATCAATAACAATTATAATATATTGAAATTGGTTCATTGCTTCTAAAAACCTGAAATTGAAGCTGAAAATTTTCATAAAGACATACACAAACGACGACAGACTAAAATGAAAAAAGTGAAGATAACAAATGTGATCAATCTCACGAACCCTGTAAACCGTATGAAACGTGAACAGAGCAGAACTTGGAAACACCAGAGGTGGGATCAGGTAGAGGAAGTAGCAGATAACAAGAGGACACCTGAGTGCCTCAGGTGACTTAAACTTGCATTTAGAAGAATATAAAACAAAACAAGTGAGGTAATACCTGTATAAAGTAAGATACCATTATTAATGGATAATAGCTACACTTTCTTTTGTGACTATAAGTACTGAGTGTACAAAATCGCCATGACTTTGGTAAAACTTAGTTCCATATTGCCAACAGAGTGGAAAGACATAAATTTGTTGCAGAAGCATTTTGCCTCAATTAGGAAACACAGCAATTACAAACGATAAACTTTTAAATAACAGATTTTAATCGAAAGCATACAAATTCATTAGTTTTAACGACATAATAGTCTTAGCAACACAATATAATTTATCTCTTATACATGTTATAGGTACTTATAAAATATTAATCCGAGACAATGAATTAAAAAAAGAAAACTGATGAGAATAAAAAAAAGGAAATTAAAAAAAATATGGAATTCAAAAATACGGTAGAAAGTTAAAAATCACAGTCCTGAGCTTCAAACACAATAGAAATAAACATAGAGTGTTTTCATGCCATCGAAAATTAAGCATTGGATTAGGGATCACATTTCATCACTCTGTACATAATAAAACAATAATAGCAACAACTACACAGAATCAAAACAAAAAAAGCTAGCAAACAAATAAAAAAACTACCAAATAAATAAAATAAATCGAGCAGAATTAAATTTAAGAACCTAATTAGCGAATGTTTAGTCGCAAAAATTCACCTAATAATTTATTTGCCATCTTTCTTATTCTCTTTCTCATCTCTTTGACAAATTTTTGTCGGCTTTCCTCCTTACATTGGTTTTGTTTTCTCTGTATAATATTGTATGTATTTTTTTTCAACGGCAATAAGAAGTCAGTATCCCCCAGCCGCAGTAGTCTCCCGGCAGTGATCGTACTGTGGGTTAAAAGCACATACTCTTGAATATTGGAATTCAGTCTCTTACACTTACACGGCACCATTATTTTTAGCTCAATTTTTTCTTGCTTTTCCTTCTTGTTTTCCATGTCTAATACTTCTACATTTAAAATCCAGTATAATTCATTTTCTGTTCTTGTGTTGATGAACAACTTAAAAACTGAAATAAAAGATATTGTATATACATTTTATTAATTACAGTATCTCTTTTATTAAAAAGAATTACTATGATCAAAGACTATTGAAGAAAAACAAATGACCTTTCTTGTCGCAAACTGAGACATTTTCAGTCCTGATGAGGTCCAAAAAAGAAGAAATATTTCTATTACATATTTTACAGATTCCGTATGCTGGGTCCAGATGTATAGCCGTTGCATTGGTTCCATCATGGGTATGTTCCAATATCGCTTCGATCTTTTCGTCTGTAATAATAAAGATAGAAACACAATCTGATAAATAAACATTGATAATCTTCCAAAAACAAAACCTGTATAATTTAAATATGTGTACGCCAATAATCCATGGGCCTCACCGCTCATCTCACCTGAGTAACTTTGGATCTTCTTGAAAAATTGAGCAAGTTGGAGCAATTTGGTAAGACTTTTCCTACTTACTCCTATGTCAGACTTTTAACTCCCTGTTGTGGCTGCATTCTTGCTCCGGTTCGTAACTCCCCCCAAAAAATTGAATCTACGCTACTGTATATCAATATAACACATCGTCCCCACAGTCCTTCAGAAGATTATTAAGAATTTTCCACGTTTTTCCTATTTTAAAATTTTTAACTTAAAATAAGATTGCTCCATCTGATTTTCGCTTCCTGCTAAATACCTCTTCTTGACGATAAGCTTTTCTGTTCTTCCGATTATATTAATTGAGTTTCCATAACTCAATGATGATTTTTGCCAAGATTGGCAATAGTTTGTGAATGTTTTCGACAGACAAGCGTCGGACAGGTGTTGCCGAAAAAAAATCTTTGGCTCGGATAACGAAAAAAGAATTGCAATGCAGAAACAAGATGTGTTTGTGAAACACTGATGATCCCGTATGGCAACTTATAGCAAAGGTTAAACTTTCTCAAATGCAAATCAAATATGTTGGTACCCAAAGTAAGGTCTTGTCTCAAGGAATAAACCTGTGAATAATGAAAGCCCTAGCAGCAACCATTGAATAGATATGGAAAAATTAAAGTTTTTTTTTCAGAAGTATGTCAAACATCAAGATCAAATGGTCAAAATTAATGGTGCCAAAGGAAAGGCCTTGTCCCAAGAAATACACAGGTGAAATATGAAAGCACCAACCGTTCAAAAGTTATGACCAAGTTTCCAAAAGCAGGTCAAACTCCAAGGTCAAAGGGTCAAAGTTGTTGGTATCCAAAGAAAGGTCTTGTCACAAGGATTACTTATGTGAAGTATGAAAGCCCTAGCACCAACCTTCAAAAGTTATGGCCAAGATTGAAGTTTTCCAAAAGTAGGTCAAACTCCAAGGTCAAGGTCAAAGGGTCAAAGCTGTTGGTATCCAAAGATGGTCTTGTCACAAGAATAACTTGTGTGAAGAATGATAGCCCTAGCACCAACCATTGAAAAGTTATGGCCAAGGTTAAAGTTTTTCAAAAGTAAGTCAAACTCTTAGGTCAAGGTCAAAAGGTCAAAGTTGTTGGTATCCAAAAAAAAGGTCTTGTCACAAGGATTACATATGTATAGTATAAAAGCCCTAGCACCAATCCTTCAAAAGTTATGGCCAAGGTTAAAGTTTTACAAAAGTAGGTCAAACTCCAAGTTCAAGGTCAAAGGGTCAAACTTCTTGGTATCTAAAGGAAGGTCTTGTCACAAGGATTACATGTGTGAAGTATGAAAGTCCTAGCACTAACCGTTCAAAAGTTATGAACATTAAAATTCAGTAAAATTCTGCAAAACTGGGTCAAACTCAAAGGTCAAGGTCAAAAGGTCAAATTTGATGGTACCCAAAGAAAGGCCTTGTCACAAGGAATATGCTTGTGAAATATGAAAGCCATAGCTTCAGCCAATCAAAACTTATGGGCAATGTTAAAGTTTTTGCGGACAAACAGACAAACAGACAGACAGACGGACGGACACGGCAAAAACTATATACCCCCGAATCTTCGAAACGGGGGCATAAAAAATATGCATTTAAATGACATTATTAGTTTTCAAAATGAGTAATTAATTATGATGCATGGAATGATAAAAAAAAATTATAAACCAAGACCGTATGGGAAGATGGAGTTTTATATAGAAAGTAGTTTAAGTAAACTATCATCTGTTACCTGATTAAATCAATCACGTATTTAATTAATCAATAAAATTTCATGATTTTTACCGAGAGGGCTTGAATCAAGACACTTTCACCTTTCCGAGAAATAAATATCTCCTTACAAAACGTACAAAACATAAAGTATCCCTGAATGAGGTATCTTTAGGATAAATAACAAGAAGTAAAACTTAATATATTATAAGTAAATACTTTCTGGATTAAGTAACGTACCAAAACATTTTTCCGTTGTTTTATTGTAGATGTCAATACCACAACAACCATGTGAAACTTTGTCATACGTTTTTTTTCCACAGCAGGCTGTTTGATTCGAAAGCGGATGCCTCACCCCCGTGCAGCAGATATGAGTGGTAGTATTTATGGAACCTTTAATGCCAAATAGATAAGAAAATTACTGTGATGCTTGAAAGTTAGATGACCTTTTTTTTATCAATTATATGGGGATAACTTTTAGTATACCATGTCCGCAACATTCTTCCTCTATAGGGACTGGCAGATTTGGCCCTTTGCAGCATTTTTCAGAGGGTTTAGAATATAACTCTATCCCACAACATTCAGTTGGGACATTGAATGTTGATGTGTTGTGAAGTTTCTCATCACAACACTTCATAGATGATTCTGTATTGTATAAAATAGAACCACAAAAATTCTCGTTCAATAGTATAACCCGATCATGAACACAGTGATGAGTAGTGGTATTGTAAGGCTCTGTTAAACAACAGTCCATGCTGTCAGACTTTACAGATGTTTGATTTTTACAACAGAAATGTGTAGTTGTGTCCATTTCTTCTTCACCACAGCAATCCATATTTTCTTTAAAAAAATTAAGAATAAGCTGAAATTTAATAAGAACTTTCAATGTGCGATGACATGATGTAATTATAATGAAAAATTAGTTACTAGTAATAATTTCAATTTCTATGAAACTGAGTTTCAAACATTTCTAACTCACGGGTTACATTGTACAATCGACTGCCACAGCATGTTCTTTCGACACCATTGCTCCATTTTGGGAGGGTCTCGTTTCCACAGCAGATGTGAGAACTTTTGTTGTACATTTGAGCTACAATTTATAATTCACTTGCTTTATACATTATACAATTTTGGAGAAAAAAAAATGATAAAAAACAATTATTTTTCAAGTAATACCTGCACCCTGACAACAAGACTCGAACTCTTGTTTTTTGATAACTGTATCATTGCAGCAGACCTGAATGTTTGGATCATATCTATTCTGTGGATTATTACAAATTTCCAGTGCAAATGGGCTTATTGCCGATACAGTAACTACAGAAAAATACAAAACATAATTGTAGAAAAATACCATTGTCAATATAAGAAGTTTGTAGAAGTTATCATTCTTAGCGTATACCACGAAATTTTGGTTCACTTTAACACTATCATGAGAACCCTCATGCTCATTCATGGTTTTTGTAGTATACTTCTATTGCAGCTAAACGTGTAAAGTTTCTTTGGATCTTTACTCATCGGTTATTATGTACAGTTGAAGACCATACAAATTTGAAACCAAAATATGAATTGAGAAAACTTTATACATAAAGTTGTTTATTTTAATTAGACAGAAGAATGATTTCAATTATTCTTATATAACTATTCTCATTATTTTCTGTTGTGTCTTTATTACTTTAAAAATTTAACTGAATTTTTAAAAAGTGCTAATCCAAGCTTTATTTTAAGAGAGAGAGAGAAAAAAATTGATTTAGTGTGTTTTTAATCAATTTTAAGTAGATATTTTCATATTTACAATTTACACAAATAAAATACTAGTAATTCAAAAATTGTATGCGAGTCTCCAAAAAATGACCGTTCTTTTGACAATTTTTTACAAAGATAAAATAAGATTATGCATTTTTGTAATGCAAAAATATTTTTGCTTAGAATAATTTTTATAAAGCAATTTTTGACGTTGTGAAGTACCAAAGGAATCAGTTTGATGATTGTGTTATCATGCGCTAAGGTTCAATAAAAAAAATATAAATTATGAGCAGAGCAACCATGGACCTATGAAAACATCAGTAGTGGGATCAGATACCATGGAGGAGTAGGTATTACCCTGTCAACCAGCACACCCAACGAAAAACCTTTGTCACGATCAAGGAAACGGAAAAAATCCGTGTCAATTAAGTGTGGAAATAGAGGCTTAACAATTGGTATGAACAAAGTCAGTCATCATTCGACCTAACAACGGATTGTATTTGCAAACAAGGTCATTGTCTCGACCAGAGAATTTGTGAAATGTTGACTTTAAACGAGATTGTAGAATCCTTGTATCATCAACTTATGTGTTAGTAGTCTGTCTTATTTTAGAAATTGTTTGTACGAAAAACATGCTCTTGCCTATCGAATTAACTGGGAATTGTATACTCTATATGCGTATAATAATGGTATACTAAGAGCATAATAAGGAGAGTTGAAGATAGAAAAGTTGAAGTCATCATAATTCTCATAAATGAAATCCTTCAAAAAAGATGTTTAGACAAATATTTAATCTTATTTGATGAAATGTGTCAAAAAGGTGCAATAATTTAAGATACAAGGGTACAGACGTAAAAATGGAAAAGCGGAAAGAAAAATGCCGAAATGAAATAAGGTAGAATAAATAAAATGTAGAAAATGAATAAAATGTGACAAAAGCAAATGATGCGTCTTCAGTGCAGTTTAAAAAATACTGTGAAACAAATAAATGAACTTTGAGAAGTGTAGAATATATAAGGAAAACAGTGCCATTTAATTTCATAGGTCAAGAAAAAGAAGAGATCCTAAAGTTTCAATGATAATGTTATGAATGGGAAGGAAACAATTAAATCCACAGCGTGATGGGAAGTCCAGATAAGGATATCTCATTTAAAATGGGTTTGTACCGTGTTGAGCACCCACGTATTATAGGTAAAGTATGTCAAGGGCTTTTCTAAATAGAATTTGTATTATTTTGATAATAAGAGCCTTTAGAAAAACTAAAATGATAAAAATGAGTGAGGAAACATAGTCGGGTATATTCCGATTTTTATTTCCCTATCATATGTGTGTCTGATGTACAGATTTATTTTACTTGTTAGTTTTGTTTTCTTTGATTTTTCTTTCCCTTTTTATCTATTCATTTACCTATGTTTTGGTTTTTTAAGAAAATAAGTTTGTCTGGAAAAAAAACTTTAATAAACGTCCGTCTAAAATAAACTATGAATGAAATTATTCAGTTTATTTTTCAATTTCTCTCAATAATTTCTTGAAAGAATTTCAGAAAAGATAATCCTCTGTTTGCAACAAACAGATTTCTTTCAGCTGCGTAGTATAAAAAAATAGGTGTGGTCATTTTTGTTCTTATTTACACACTGAATTGTCGACGAATTTTTCCGTTATTTCCCGATCATGACAAGGAGCACACGACGGGTGTGACCGGTCGGCAGGGGATGCTCACTCCTCCATGGCACCTGATCCCACCTCGGAGGTCCGTGTTCGCTCTACTCCCGATTTGTATTGTTTTAATGGACTTTGAGCTTGAATACTGTTCGTTATCTCCATATTCATTCTATAAATTTAACTGACAGCTTGTATCATGATATAAATAGTTTTTTGACAAAATTGTCAGGGAAGGATTTGCAGTTTATTTGAGATTTAAATCTTTTCATTAATCAATTGTTTCAAAATAAATGCATGCGTTTACTTTCAAAATAAGATATGTTATTTAATTTCTTATAAAGTAATATTTTTCAGGAATTTTTATTCAACTACATAATTTATATTATTTTCAGATAAAGTAAAAGACAACAAAAACCAAATTATGTAGTCGAGGGACTTTTGTTCATTTCAAACTTATGTACCGCTTGTGTTCAAGCGAAGTTTTTAAGTTCCGTGTGAAAAATTGTATCAAAAGTTATTTATATAAAACGCTTGCTTAAATAAAGCGGGATCCATAGGAAACATATGGTGTCTACATTTGTGCTTTAGTATTTCAGCAATAAACAAGGAAAAAAAATTGAAGTCATGAAAGGGAGAGGTCTAACAAAATCTACAGTATGATTCTTACATTGGATGAGTTTTAGAGTGTCAAAATGATATTAAAAATAGATTAATTGACAGTTTTGTTTTCATGGCTTGAAACTGCACTCTACGAAATTATATTTTTGATAAACTATATTTGATTATATAAAAATATGTATATAATATATGCATTCAATGCAATTGGTCAAATTCACTCCTTATTACTTCGCATAAAACCTGTTTCAGGGAAAGGTGTAATAATTTTGCAGCAAAATATGCTAGAATAGATCGACATAAAAAGATGTTTTGTATTTACTGGAGATGTTTGAAAGGTGGGCAACATATAGGTATTTTCAATATTATATATCAATACAAAGGCAGTGTATAAGTCACCATCATACCTGTTATCGTGATAAAGGTAATATAGCGCATGTTTACCATCTAGGTGCTTCTTGATGAATAAAGTGTCAAACAAAAAAAATTGCTTTTAATATACATTCATTGCATTATTCTATCATAATGAGAATTTGGAAATTCAACAAAGATGAAGGTAGCAAAATTTTCAGAATACTGTTATAGAGTTATTGGAATTTCCTGAGTGAAGGTAATGTCCATATAATCCATTGTCAATCTGCGTGGACACTTCCAACTTTGTATGAGTGGATCGGAATTTTTGAAAGGTTTTTTTCCTTTTGCTTTAAAATCGTAATGTGTTAATAGTGACGGGGGAATATTTTGCCATGTATAGAAAATATGATGTGCCTTAGAATCATGTACATGTTCATTTACATTGAACAGACAAAAACATGTAGCGATAGCTATAGATATGGGTTTAAGAAACATGCCCATTTTAAAATTAAAAAAAAGTATTCACCCAGTGGTATTGATAATGATCATTAAAGTGTACATAAATCTACTTGAGAGCTAAAGGAAAAGGTTGCACTGCTCATTGATGAGAAATACAAAGTCTTAAAGTTTTAAGATCCTGCTTGTTACACCTGACCTGAAGATTACTCTTCGATGATTTCTTTTATAGAGGCATTTTGCAGAGTTTTTGAACTATAATAATTAACTGAAATGCAAGAATTTTCAAAAGTTTTACAGAAGACAATTTTGAAATAAAAATGAATAATTTTGATACATGAATGCAATTTATTTCAGAAAAGATAAAGTATAATTTATCTTTGGTACGTCGCTTCTAGCTACAAAAAGCTGATTTTACTGACTCTCAGACTGAATTGAATTATTGAAATTTAATCACAAGAAACATTAACGTGCAATTTCCCGATTTATAAAACAAACTCGATTGTAGTACTTAGTAGTTAAATGTTTTGTGACAGTATGGAATTATGATAAAGAGAATAAGGTCAAGAGGACTTTTAAATAAAGCAGGACTTTGAGATAAATAACAAAAGATATGACAAGGAAATTCACTCAGGAGTACCCAAATACACATTTCCTCATTCTGTCCTTTTATTCTTAATGTTGTATTTAATTAATGTCATATATCTGTTGAAAAATAATTCAATTTATATCATCAATTTCAGTCATAATAAATAATTTACAAAATTCATTTACTAATATAACAGTATATGAAAGTTTTTATAGAACCCATGTTTTGATTATAAACCAAATTCCTTTATGAAATAAAAGTTAATATATTGTGCCAGAAGTTATGGCTTATCAACAGATACTGAATAGCAAAGAGCGAAATCAAAGTGGTGAGAGAGAGAAAAAAACATTGTTTTTTTTCAACTGGTTTCTACACAAATGACTCGATTGTTTAACACGGAGAAGAGTAAAACATGACATAGCTTAAGCTTGTTTAACTTCTGTTCCAAGGTTTTTGTCCATTATAATTTCACAACTATAAATATTTAAGGTCTAACAACTAATTGTATTCAAATTCAACGTGTGCAGTATCAGAATAAAATACAGTGTATATGAGAGTCTTTAGTCATAAAATGTTTGTATAACATCAATTGTTTCTTAAATAATGAAAGATTATGTTCTACTTATACACAACTAGAAGATGTTTTATCAAAGTATTTTTCAAACCATCCTGATACAAAAGAAATACAATAAAATAATTTAAGCAATTGTTTTCCTCAAATTTTCTTCCCATTAACTATTGCTATTACAATTACAAAGTATTTAAGACCAGAAAACTATTTTATGAAGTGGTCTAAGATTAAAAAAATATATATGTTCATCGGTAAATACTACAGCAGTTCTATGTAAATCTGTTTTAATCAGGAAATAAGCTTGAGAATATCACATATTATGTGGAGCAAGTTCAATAAAATTTGATAATGACAACGAGCAAGACAAAATTGTTTTATTAAAATTGCATACTGTATAAAATATATTTGTGTTAAAGTGGACTATATCTTCACGACTGTCGAAGATTGATAGAAAAGGCATCAGAAAAGGTTATTTTTTATGCAGAAATTACTTGTCGCACATCTTCCCCAACACAGTTTTAATTTTTGAAATTTAAAAAATACGTGTAAATCGTAAAATGTATGTTACAACAACTGACGGCACTGTTTTAATTTGACAAAAGTCTGTAATTTTGGTGTTTTGATCGGGTACTTCCTTTCGTGTCATAATGTGTATTTGAACAGACAATTGTGGTTTCCAGTGTTTGGTTGTGTAAGTGGATTTTTGCCCAGATATTCCTTTTTCTGCTTTCGTTTATTAGCTCGTGTCACATGTAACATTAAGTGGGAAGTAATAAAACCAATTAAGATATAAAAATTATGTCACTCTCCCGTCGATTGTTATCTAACAATTAAACACTTAGAACACTTCTCACGAATAAAAAATGGAAGCTTCCGATAGATTTATTTAAGATATTTTTATTCAGAAGAAGATACATTAATAAAATTCATAATGATCTCATAAATTTTTGGGGGAAAAAAACTAAAGAGGAAAAGTAGAATTAGACTGCAAACATAGCTTCTACTGTTTGGGGTAAAATGATTTTCTTTTGATTCTTAATAATTTGGTCTGGTTTTATAAATGCCACCATCAATTTATGTAGATAAAGAAAGTATTCTTTGAATTTTGTATTTGCCTTAAAATGTATTTTATTTTTTTGCTTTGACTAAAAATAAGGATGCAATTTCCCTTACCAAGAAAAACAAAATACAAATAAACATGACTGATATCAATAAGCTTAAGTTCCAGAGTTACGTGAAGACTTTTAGATGAAAAAACCGAAAAGATCCACACAAAAAAAAAAAGAAAAAAGAAAAAGAAAAAAAAAAGCTATTTTCTATGAAGGGGGTGACATTATAATCCTTTTCCAAAGTTACCACTTGAATAGAAGAAGACACTGCAAAGCATGAAAAACGTTAAAAATATATATATAGTTAAGAATTATTCAACCGAAGTGCCAATTATTACTATCAACGTAAGAAGAATAACCCATTCCAAACATTGTAAAATTCTAAAAAAAAAAAAAAAAAAAATCATATAATTTTTCATCATAAATGTTTATTATTATTATTGTTTTCGTGTGCTCCTAGGTAAACAGAAAAATCCGTAGACAATTAAGATGAAATATGGAGGAAACGAACAACAATCAAGCTCAAAAGTCCAATGCAACAATAAAATTAGGAGCCGAGCAAACACTGACCTCTAAAACATCAGAGATGGGATCAGGTGCCATGGAGGAGTAAGCATCCCCTGTCGGTCGGTCAAACCCGCCGTATACTTCTTGTCATGATCGGACAAACGGAAAAATCCGTAGACAATTCAGTGTGTAAATAATGGCTTAACAATTAGTATGAAAAACGAAATTGTTCGTACGTAAAGCATACTCTTGTGTATCGAATCAACTGGGAGACATTAACTCCATGAGAAGATAATAAAAATATATTGCTTTATAACTAAAGGAGTCGCCCGCGTGGCGCAGTGGTTAGAGCGTCTGCTCTAGAGTCGCGAAGTAAGGAGTTGATCCTTACGTCGCGGGTTCGAATCCCACTGTGGGACGTGGAGACCGGTCCTTCGGATGAGACGGTATAAACCGAGGTCCCGTGTCGCAGTAGGTGCTGGCACGAAAAAGATCCTTCGCTGCTCAATAGCCGTAAGTGCCGAGTATAGGACAAAATTTGCAGCTCTCCACCGGCAAGTGGTGGCGTCTCCATATGAGTGAAAAATTCTCGAGAGGGACGTTAAACAACAAACAAATAAACAAAATATAACTAATGGAAGTTGATAGAAAAGTTGAAGTCATCACGTTTGTCATGAAGTTTTGTTATATGTTTACCATTCTTTTTGTAGTATAATAATCAAATATACAACAGATGTGAAAGACTCTTTGCTATCTTTTATTTCGAGTTCCACGGGATACATCGAGTCAACGCAGGGATGAAAATTAATATTGTTAGGCCCTAATTGATAATACGTAGTCGATATATCTAAATGTCGAGTTGACAGCCACAGCAAGTGTTTTCTACTTCTCATACCTATCTTATCTCATATATGTTTGAATAAATTCTGCTTCATATGAATATAAAAATAGGACTGCTAATAATGAGCACAATTGGTACCCATGGGAATTTCCAGATTTTTTGTTTTTTTTTGTTTTTTTTTTTTTTTTAAGACTTGATCTCCTAAAACTACATATATATTGCCAATCAGAAACTCAAGCATCTTTTCAATATCAACTTCGGAGTACTTGTGTTTACAATCAGAATGTTTTTAACAAAATAATTTTGCAAATGATCAATGACAAGGTAAGCAAATTTTCGAGTTTCATTTTTTTAAAAGCAGCTATGACGTCAAAACACCTGGTCTTTCATTTATCAAAGGGACGATTGTAAAAAGTGTTGAAAAGTCGTTTTGATATTATTGACTTTAAAATTTTGTGATTTTAAATTTTGTAAATGTTCTTTGGAGTTTTTAAGTAACCACATCTGATTTACAGCACTTCTCAATATATTGTTGCACAGTACTCCTGAAATTTAATCCCAGCTCCTCTAAAATACAATTAAAATAATGAGTCTTACAAAGATTATGTTGTTATTGTAAGGCGATGTCCATGTCTACGCTTCCGTGGTCTGTGTTCATCTGAGACTATGCTAAATTTGTTCAATTATCTTTGAATTCGATTGCAAGTCAATTAAAAGAAAAAACTTAAGACAGTGGAATTCGAAATGTCATCAAAATTTTGCAGAATGAATGTTATGAAACACTGACCACACTTCATCTTTTCACATGGGTACCACAAAGGTTAACAAGTTGGTATCGTAATAGAAACCGGTCCTGGGGTATAAATTGGCGGTGAGCACCCTGACAACCTCAGTTGCGGTTTTTCAATGATAAATTCTGTATTCTAAATAACTTGTTTTCCTTTAAGGTAGGTATGTTAAAGTATATATATATGTACATATTCATTATCTTAGAGTAAAAGTTTTCATGTAAAACATTGTTTTACTGAATTAACAACCGGATATTCAAACTTTGTATACAGAAAATGAACAAATGTTTCTCGATGATGATAATTAGTGTTTTCCAATTTTAAAGAAATAATTTCATCAGGCACTTTACTAACAGTGCTTGACTGGCTCATTATAAATACAAACTTCCTTCAACATCGTTAAATCTATAGACTGTCGTCTGCGAAATGTTCCATTAATTGTTTACACTGGTTACGTACTTTAACTTTTACTACGATCGATAACTCTAACAAGATATATTGAGATATATTTTAAATAAAGTAAGCCTTTTGAAAATAATATTCTGGATGGAAGTTATAGGACTGGTAATCTTTTTTTCTAAACAGCGTGGTTTAGCTAAAACGTTGTACAACAACAAGTATGTTTTTCAGCGGTATTTTCTCAATATTGACGTAAAACTGGTTTTGTCGTGACGACTTACAATTATAGTGAAACTGCTTTATTTCTTTGAAATGCTTCTCTGTCGATGGGTAATTAGCAAACATGCTAAGTGCATGGTTACGATGTGCAAGGATGTCTCTTCCAAAATTGTTGAATCTATTGTGATAAGGCGTTATTTCTTTGAAAATCTTCTTCTTTGCTCCTGGGTATCTAGAAGGTAAAAAGAGTATATAACATTGTAATAAGCAAGGTTATTTTTTACCAGATTTCTTAGAATCAGTACCACTTGGTCACTTTATTTATTCGTATTCTACTGAAAGAAATTACTCCCCTTTGCTATTAACCTATGATAATTAACCACTGTAAATAATGTAATTGAAAGGTCAATTGAATAACAAAATTACACAAGATTTTCTATAATATTTAATACAAAAGTACTTTCAAAGTTTGTAATGGTCAGGTAGACGTGTTAATAATACTCAGTAGATAAATGAAGGGGGACAAAAATACCTTATCTTTGTACAGTAAATGTTCTTTAAAGACTAAGAGAGGGCAGGGTGAGAGGGAATGAGATGGGTTTACTAATAGTGTTTTAGAACTATTGCTTTGTTCAGTCTGCATGTGACAAATGGGGACAAGTACGTACAGGCAAGTAAATAGATCAGCTATAAGATTTTTTACTGAGCAAAATTTAATTATTTTGTTGATCCCTCATCATCTTATTTCTCTTGCTTTTGGGCAACATAGCTTCACTTATCAGGTCGTTTTGTTTTATTGTATAATCTATCTATGGATCCTCTACAGTGTTACATTATAATACATTTGAATTTCCCGCCATATTCACAGCATATTTGAGAACTCGAATCGAACATTTCTTTATGTCCGCAACATCTTAAAACTGTTCAAGAAGATTCGTGAGAAATGTTTAATTTAAATTAATGCTGTCAAAATAAATTTGAATAGTAGTGTTTTTCATTGTCATAACACTTATTATTATATGCATATTCTTATCATCATTATTAGACATCAACTGGAGCCCAACGTAAATGGCACTTTTTTGAAAAAAATAAAACAGTTAGAAAAGGGAATCGTACTACAATATTTAAAATAAAACCACGAGAAATCTTGCCTTGTGTTGCATTAAAGATGGTTCCTCCGCAACAGACGAAGGAGTAAGCCGGGGATTTGTACAGTTTGTTTCCACAGCACACACTATCCTGCTTATAATGTAGGGTATTATTGCAACAAATTTTCTCTCCTGGGTTGAAGAGTTCTCCTATAAAGTTAAAACATGTAAGTTGACCTAATGGTAATATTGTATATGAATTTAAATCATTTCTAATTGCTTTATATTCAAGGAATGTTGATGTGATTAATCAAGAAATTTATGTATGTGGTAACTATGTAAAAATGTTTTTCGCAAATATTATTCATTTAATAAATTTGATTTCAAGTGATAGACAATGCCCTTCTCTAGAATATTTTACTTTTCGGAGAAGCAATAGAAAATAACTAACATGTGAAATACTTTAAATATACTAAATAAAATATAGCACTCTTTGGAATTTTTGAAAAATTAAATGATTATCATTACAACACGATTTCAGATTTCTCTAGTCTCTTGTGAACAGTCCCATTACAACAGATTTCTGTTCTGGTATGGTACGATTTTCGCGAACGACCCTCATTACAGCAAATAGCATATCCACGGCCTATGAAGGGGACATTCGAATCCTCGTTATAAACGCAGGAGTGGATAGCTACAATAAAACTAGTGATTTAGGGTTAAACCATTTTTTTCTTATATTTGTAGTTTTCTACGTGGTTAAGAAAGGGATTCAGTGAGCGGTCCAAAATCGTGGACAAAAAGATATTTTACTTTAGATATACTTTACCCCTGATATAGATTGTAAGTGCCAACAGTAGTAATGAGAAAGGACCAGCTTTAGTAGTCATCATTGCAAGCATTTTTTAATATTTGTAGATACTTCATATTATATACGGAGATGAGGAAACAAAATTACGCCTGTGTGTTTTATGAAAAATTCTTTTCGGTAGTTTTTCCCTTGGACACCCTACCACAGCTTTCGTTTATGGTAGCAATTTTTACGTCCGCCTTCTTAAGTATATAAATGAATAGGGAGTTGTATCTTGTCTCAGGGTCACGAACAATTTCCCCCCATTGATACATAAGTGAGCAGTAACTCATTCATTGTAATACAAATACCGGTAGTTATTTCAAAGCTAGGACAAAGCCGTGTATTTTGAAATAACAATGAAATTACAGTTCGAAATATCATAAAAGTGGAAGCGCTATTAATATCACACAAAAATCGTGAGGAGAGAAGAAATTTTCCCCTTTTTTATTTGAAATAATTTTATTTTTTGTTGATGTTGCACTGTTAACACTAAATCAGTGTCCATATTTAAACTATTGCACCCATTTAATAGATTCAGTAGCATATCAGATAGGATTAACGAAAAAACAATATCCTATTCTCATAAAATAATGATGCAAAAAAAAATTTGGCTGACAGACATTTGACATGCAGATAACATACCCTATCAACCCTAAGTATGTAAAAAAAAAAAAAAAAAAAAAAAAAAAAAAAAACTCGACGATATTTTTTTTTTCAAAAAGTGAAAGTAAGAGTTTATTCCAATGCAAAATTGAAACCCTGCTTTCTGTATTCAATATTTACACGAATTTGTAAATGGCAATGCAATTAATAAATCGATCAATTAATCAAAATTATTCCAATTTGAAGAATTAGTAGATGAATAAACTGGAGATACAACTGGTTATTAGGTTGTGTCCTTTCTGAAAGGCTTAATGTTAACAAAAAGAATATACACGACAACTTAAAAGTAGTAAATTGGTATATTTTATTTGATAAAATGAAGTATATCAAGAATAGCACTTTCACTAAATTGTTGAGCACACTTGAAGAAAAAAATATATAACGAAAGAATTTGTCTTTAAAACACAACTAAATAAGTATATAAAGCTCACCACAAAACAGGAATTGTAGAAATAATATGCTATAAAACGTTGTATGTGTCATATCTGATACATTTTATTTTACAATTGAATTAATCAAATCATGTCTTAAGTATATATGATTTTAAGACCCCTACAAAAATATAAAATAACCATTGTGATATTTAAAACAAAATAAGGTCAATTTATAATCAATAATTATGTGATTTCAAACCCCCTCCTAATGCAGAGAAGAGATCTTTTAACGTGATTTTAAAGATAGCATTTCCTTTTAAATTAATATTTGAATAATGAATAAACGTTCATCTATCTTTTTTTTCGATATTCGAGCAGTTCGATAACATATAAATAGAAATAACAAACTCATTTAATATTTATCACACAGAACTGATATATTATTCCATCAATATAAGTGTTTATTGTTTGACATTTTATATCTCAATATATCAATCGAGAACTGCATGAGAACTGGATGAGGTACCACGCATCAAGGATTGTGGTTATCTTTAGAAATCTAATAAAAAATGCATCAACTTTTTAAAAATATAATGTTCAAAATTACTTAATCATTGGTAAATGTGTGGTCATGAAACCAGATGTCAGAAGGACATTTTACTGATAAAACGCATAAATCATTAACAGAAAACGAAACAATTTACCGTGATATCCTTATGTTAAAAAAAAATATACCAATTTGTGCCATAAATTTATGGAAGGCTTTTCATCTATTTTCAAATTTTACAAAGGGGTCGTTAATTTTGTGTTTATTTAAGGAATAACTGTCTGGTTTTTGGTTTTATGAACCTTGCGTGATAATTTGCATTAACGCCAAATGCGTTTATGCATAAAATTATCACGCAAGCCATTTGCTTGATCATCATCATAACCCCCCCAAAAATTTAAATAAATAAATAAAATAATTAAAAAAAGACAGTAATTCCTTATATTTACACGATTCCGTAAATTCAAGCTCGATCCAAGCCCCACCCACTTCTCTCTCTCTCTCTCTCTCTCGTGACCTTTTTAAACCATGTATGTCGATGAAACAATAGCTGTATGAAGAAATCAAGTCATTTTATTATTTGTAGTTTTATTCCGGACAAAGAAATTTGAACACGAAAATATTTAAAGGTGCTTTAGTGATACCATACGGCAAAATCATTCATCTGCACCGATATACTTTATCAAGGTATTCTGAAGGACTATATGATACGAAAGCCGGATAGGCTCATTTTTGACAAGACAAAAATATATTTAACTCGTTGTAACGAGATAATTATCCCGTAATAACGAGTTAGTTATCTCGTTATAACAAATTAATATCTCGTTATGACGAGTTAGTTATCTCGTTATAACGAGATAATTATCTCGTTATAACGAGTTAGTTATCTCGTTACAACGAGTTAGTTATCTAGTTATAACGAGTTAGTTATCTCGTTATAACGAGTAAGTTATCTAGTTATAACGAGTTAGTTATCTAGTTATAACGAGTTAGTTGTCTTGTTATAACGAGTTAGTTATCTCGTTATAACGAGTTAGTTATCTTGTTATAACGAGTAAGTTATCTCGTTATAACGAGTTAGTTTCTCGTTATGACGAGTTAGTTTTACGAGATAAAAATTGATCTGAAGAGTTGATATATCTAAGTAAAGGATAGACCATTATTTATAGAAAATATACTGAAGCGAGTAGATCAAATTTTTTGGAAATGTGCGTGATAAACATTTTATGGAACAACAGCATACAAGTTTATTGTGTTATGCGTTTCATTAGTAACTTTTATTGAAAAGACCGAAGACAAATATACGGAAACTTATGACCGCCTGGTGTTGTTGTGTTATACCTTAAAATTGCAAAATACAGACCCGTAGGAAGCAATTTCAGTTTGGGCGGAGGGCACAACCATACGTTTTCAGATTTTCAGTTCGGGGGCACTATTAACTACCAAATATTTCTTGACAAGCAAAAAAAAAAAAATTAGGATCAATCTATGGAGAAAAAAAAATTAAAAGACTTTATAATGCCTTTCAAAAAGGCGTAATAACGCCTTTTGAAAAGGCGTAATAACGCCAAAAAGGCGTTATTACGCCTTTCTAATAGGCGTTATTACGCCTTTTCCAAAAGGCGTCATTACGCTTTTTCAAAAGGCGTTATTACTTCTTTCGAAAAGGCGTTATTACGCCTTTTCAAAAGTCCTTTTATTTTTAATACATGACTAACTTAGCCCACTCCGGTGGTTAAAATCTTAACCCTCTGGACATGAATTTCACAATTAAATATAGGGCTAATTTCTTCAAAAATAATTTAAATATATTGTAATTAGATTTCCAGGAAAAAAGATTTTTAAATGTGTAATATATTTTCAATGTTAAACCAATTTAGTCCTTCTCTGATGCCAGACACCTCTACCAAGGGTCATTGATTTCACAAATTTGGTTGAAGGCTAATTGCTCATTATATCCATGCATATAGTTCACCTGCTTTTTTCCAAGAGGAGAGAAAAATATTTTCAAAATTGACATGAATTTTTAATACATGGAAAGCAAAGCCCCAAGCTGCATCTTCCTGTATCCTGGATTTCCACAAGTAGAGTGTTGACTTTTCTTAACACGCATGCAAACAATTGTCTGCAAGATAAGCAGGAATATAAAAATGCTTTTAAATATTGCATAAATAAAAATGGCTTTGATTCAATCTTTCAAGTATTTATTAATAAAAAATAACGCATTTCCATTTTTGGATATAACGCCTTTTCAAACAGGCCAGTAGTATGTGTGCAAGATAGGGGTGGGGGGGGGTGGGGTGGGGGGTGGGGGTCCCCTCCCCACTTTTTGGGAGAATAGTCTTTCTATAGTTTAAATATAAAAATTCATTTATTGTTTCTTGTTTTTTTGTTTGCTTGTCAATTTTTTGGGAGGTTTCTACCACCTCTCAAAACCACGGGCCTGTCAAGGCATAATAATGGCTCTTCAAAAGGCATAATAACTCCTTTTGGAAAGGCGCAATAACGCCTCTTGGAAAGGCGGTAATAACGCTTTTTGAAAAGGCGTAATAACGCCTTTTGGAAAGGCGTAACAACTCCTTATGGAAAGACGTAATAATGCCTTTTAAAATTTTTTTTGTTCATAGATTAATCCTAATAGGCTTTCGTAATCAGACGTTATTATTGAGGGGGCACAAGTATATGGTAGCTATGGTTTCTATAGTATTCTATACATCGGCAAAATTATTGGGGGGCACGCCCCCTCCCGTGCCCCCCCCCCGTTCCTTCGGCCATGAAATAGAATTAGTGTCAATGGAATGTATATAATGTCAAAATTTTGTCAACTTGTACAAGGAGATCAGAAGAAAATGATATACTCTGGCTAATTTAACGACGACGGACCTAATACATTTCTTCAATAGATTTTTTATTCAAATTTTAATAGGAGGTAAAGTGACTTTTGGTGAGTAAAAACCAATAAAAAAAATCATATGGTTATTGAAGTAGATTTTTAATGGGGTGCGTTTCAAAAGTTGGCGATGGAAATCGATAATTACTGTAGGAGGCAATGGTAAATTGCCAGTGTAGGGTATAAAAATGATCATTGAAAAAAATTCTGCAATAGAATTTTTATTCGTATGAAAGGACAATGTTAACAAGACAATTTACCAGCAAATTATGCCAAAAAATAAATGGGTCATCGGCTAAGAATTTTCAGGGGGCATGTCAAACTCAGGTGTAGGGCACATTTTGGGGGAAATTTTTAATGAAAATACCTTGGCCAAATAAATCATTTATGTATAAAATTAACAAATGTATATAAATCGAAATATTTACAATATTTTTGAATTGAGAGGAAACGTTTGAATATCTTTAAAAGAATTAAAAATGTATATTTTTTTTATCTTTTGCAATACATTATTAAGTCAAAGTGTTGTATTAATAATATATATGTAGTATTAGGCCTATTCG